TTACTCAAGGTACGTTACTTAGTAGCTTGAGGGATTTGCATACCGTTTAGTGAAAGCGGAGGCATGTTTGTCTATTAAGAGTGAACGTTAGTCCAATAAGCCAAACTCGGTCGAAAGCTTGAGATATGTCAAGGAAAATATTGCTGCAGTATTCTCGCTGTTCGAAGGCTGAGCGTATTTCGGATGTTAATCTGTTCATTTGTTCGATGTTTCCGTGGTTTATTCGGAAGCCAAGTTGGTGTGCCGGGATAATATTTTGGACAACAAGATAGAAGGCTTATTGATCTGTATAATGACGAAATTGTGTGGTCTTTTTCAGGCTTCGGTATCATTATAATGATGGATTTCTTCCACTTTTTTGGGAAATATCCGAGATTAATGATTCCATTAAATAGTTTGCAGACGACCTCTAGAGCGCATTTTGGAAGTTCGATCAGCATTTTCGGCGTCAATAGGTCACCACCGGGAGCCTTTTTATACCCTTGCAGAGGGATTATAATTTTGTGCAACGCAGTGAAGGAGACATCTCCGACCCTATAAAGTATATATATTCTTGATCAGGATCACCTCCTGAGTTGATATGAGCATGTCCGTCTGTCCGTCTGTCTGTCTGTCCGTTTCTACGCGAACTAGTCTCTCAGTTTTGAAGCTATCGACTTGAAACTTTGCACACACCCTTCTTTCCTTTGCACGCAGTATATAAGTCGGAACGGCCGGGATCGGCCGACTATATCCTATAGCTGCCATATAACTGATTGATCGAAAATGGTATAACTTTGGTGTTTTTCAAGTTAGAGAGTTTAAATTTTACACGAAAGCTATTTTTGGCAAAATAATACGACATGCCAAGTTTCATAAGGATCGGTCGACTATACCTTATAGCTGCCATATAACTGAACGATCGGAAATGGTATTTGGTAGAAATATCAACTTTCGTATTTTTGAAAATAGATGCTTGGGACTTTATTTTAGATTTTTTATTTTAGTTAATTGGTTTTATTATGATGTAATCAAAAGGATCGGCCAATTATATCCGATGTTTGCGATATATATCCGGTTTTAACTGCAAGGGTATATCAACTTCGGCTCCGCCCGAAGTTAGCTCTCCCTTCTTGTTTGGTTTTAGCCCTCTTATGACTTTTTCGATTTCGTTCGGCCGGAATGAAGGTACATCTGGCTGAGGGAGGACTCTGGCTGGATTACTGGCAGGAGGAATGAATTTGAGGCTGGGTTTGGCTGAAAGACACTTTGGAGATGTGTGGCGAATGTTTCAGCTCGGTCTTCGTCGCTGCGAGCCCTACATCCCAAAGAGTTTCTTATCGGGATGGTCGTTTCAATTGGGACGCTAAGATTTGGGTGGGCCACAGGGGGTACTTTGTGCTTGTTGGTGAGAGATTCTGGATGTACCTCAGCTGTGCATTTTCTTCCTGATGGTGAAGAGCCTGGTCGAGTGATCGGGTTGCTTCCTTAAGGCGTTGTTTTGAAGCTGGTGATCTGCTGTTTTGCCAATCACGACGCGTGCGCCTCTTTTCTCGCACGAGGTGCTCGATTTGCTGATTAGATTTGAAGTATTTGTTTCGGTCTACTTCTTTCCCATGAGGAGTAGAGATTTTGGCTGCCGCAACGAGTACTTCTTCCAGGGCGCTCGTAGTGTAGTCGATGTCCGATTCCATGTTAAATTCCGGGGCGAGTTCTATGTGGGTACTCACGTACTTTTTGTATTTTAGCCAGTTCGTTTTTGGCTTCGTCAGGCTGAAGGGGTGTTCGGTTATTTCTGGGCTTTGAAGAAGCGTTAGAAGCACAGGCGAGTGGTCTGATGATAAGTCCGAGACTGCTTTGGCACTTATTAGATTGCGAGGTATTTTTTTTGTCACTGCAAAATCAATAAGGTCTGGGAGCTTTCGTGAGTCTGTTGGCCAGTATGTGGGACTTCCAGGGGAAACATAGTCCAGTTTATTTTTCACATTTATAATTGCATTGTACAATTTCCTTCCTTTGGGAGTCACTAGTCACGTGATCCCCAGTGCGTATTTTTGGCGTTGTAGTCTCCTGCAGCTATAAAACGATCCCCAAATGAATTGTAGAAGTCCATAAATTGTCCTTCCGAGATTGAGAAACGACGAGGGCAGTAAACGGCAGCGATTGAAAGGATTTCGTTGCTTGACTAAATTTGTATCGATGTGGCCTGCAAGAAGTTTGTTGCAAACCTTTTGTGAAAGTGGTGTTTAATGCGTTCTCTGATTAGAACTCCAGTTCCGCCGTGGGCTTTCCCATCTGGATGATCTGGGCGGTAGATTCTGTAGCCTCTTGTATGAAAGTTGTATTTGCTTGTAAGATGCGTTTCCACCAGTAGCATAACGTCAATATGGTTTTCGGTTAAGAATTGTGATAATTCTAGTTTATGCCGTGAGACACCATTGGCGTTCCACATTGATATTCGTAGCGCCTGCATAGATTATTTAGACTGTTGTGCTACGAGCAGCTGTATCACCATGTTCTGGTTTTGAACAAGCGTTTGCATGGTCGTTTTCATGAATGACATAAGCTCCATCATACTTTGTTGGAGGGTAAGCATCATAGTTTCCATTTTGCTATGTGGCTGTTCTTGGGCCTGTTGAGCGCTTTGAGAGTTAGGCTGAATTGGAATTTCCCTTCCAGATCGTAGAGCATCGGCATAGGAGAAGCCGTTGGTGGTGTTTAGTGGACCGAATGAGAATCTCGCAGCTTTGGCGAAGAAGACGTCTGGCGTAGTTTTTGACGCAATGTACGCATTCTGTGGATTTTGGTTGCGCGTTGCGGTCGCTTGACGCATGCGACTCTTTAACTCCTTATACACCATACATCCTCTATAGTTTGCTGTATGGCTGCCTCCGCAGTTTCCACATTTCTTCACGGTACTGTCCTTGTTTGTAGTGCAGCAATCGGACTTGTGGGCGTCCCCGCAGACTACACAGACAGCCCGAAGTGTGCAGTAAGACCTTGTGTGTCCATACTCTTGACAGTTAGTGCATTGCACTGGACCGTTACGTTTATGTGGCTCTTCAACAGTGATTTTCCGATGCAAAAGATATTGCAGGTTGTACATTGGGTGGACTTCGTTCTTCTTCAGCGACCTGCTTTCTGGCTCGAGCTCGACCTTGAAGAGGGGTTGTGGCTTTTTATCTTTATTTAGAATGTTAATAACATTCTTGGCGGCGAAGCCCTTTTCTTTAAGGGCGGTTTTTATTTCCGCGGCGGCAACATCAGGTTCTATTCCCTTTAATACCACTTGTAGGCCCTTACTGCTTTTCAGCTGGTACGTGTAATAGTTTTTCTGTACAGTGTCCAGATATTTGGACACGATTCGGAAGTGCTCTTCAGACTTGGTTTGCACCTTTGTTTCATGGATGTTCCCTTTGATAAGCGGAACAACATGAAAGTTGTCACCGTTCCCGATCAACGACGCAATTTTGTTGACCAGGGCACTCGAGCTTTTTTCCCTAATATAGATTGGAGGGGGCTTGGGTTTTTTTGCGGTGTCTTGGGCTGGTTGGTTTTCCTCAACCTCCGCCAGTGGGGCAAATCTGTTAGTAGTGGATCTGTCTGGTTCTTTATCGATATTCAGGACACGGTTATTTTTTGTTTTGTTGCCTGCCGGATTACTCTGCGGACTAAGCTTGCGCTTAATTTGGATGTAGCGATCCATTCCAGTCTGTGTGGCCGTTACCGCTTTGGCACTTTCCGAGGTTGTTTTTGTACTCGCTGTAGTCGTTGACGTCGCGGTACTTTGAGTTGCAGAGGTTTTTGCTGTTGTTGCAGAAGTTGTAGCACTGCTAGTTGTTGGTGCGAAATTTGTTTCCGATATTGGAGGGGGGGTTTTACACTGCGAACTCCATGACGCGGGAGTCGGAGTGAGCAGAGCGGGTGAGCAAGACCGTGCCCTTTGGGTTTCAACGGTCAGTAAATCCGGGTTACTTATAATCGCCGATTTTTCTACTTCGGTATCGCGGGTTGAAAAGTAAGAGTAGAAGCCGTTTCTTTGGTTTACTGAACTTCTACGCTCGTTCTTTTGATCGTTGCTCAATGAGCTCATTGCGTGGCTCTTACTTTTTTTTTGAACAATGCACTAGTTTTGGTTTAGCACATCACAATTGTTATAAAAAGCTTGTCTGTCGCTTTTAGTAAATTGTAGTTCAGCGTCTTTTCGCTTATATTGGGTTACCCCAGTTTTTTTGATTAGCTGTATTTTTCACTTTTCCCGGAGCTCGGACAAAGCTCAGTTCGGTAGTTCGTATTCGTCTCCGTTTTTGTAAATGTTTTGTGTATACATATTTTTACGAATCATTAAAAACAATACACTAAGAAAGGAACTGGGTGTATTTCAGTCGACATCACTTAAAACGCCGATTGCTTTTAAGTTTTTGTTGTTCTGCATGAGAATTAGATAAGAGCTAGATTAGATTAGCTCGATTCAAATAGTCCTGTTTACTTTGGAACGCACCTTATATAATTTTGGTCAAAAGTGTGCAACGCAGTGAAGGAGACATCTCCGACCCTATAAAGTGTATATATGTATTTTTGATCAGGATCACCTCCTGAGTTGATATAAGCATGTCCGTCTGTCTGTCCGTCCGTCTTTTTCTAAGCAAACTAGTCTCTCAGTTTTAAAGCTATCGACTTGAAACTTTGCACCCACCCTTCTTTCCTTTGCACGCAGTATATTAGTCGGAACGGCCGGGATCGGCCGACTATATCCTATAGCTGCCATATAACTAATTGATCGGAAATAGTATAACTTTGGTATTTTTCGAGTTGGAGAGTTTGGATTTTACATAAGTGCTATTTTTAACAAAATAATAAGACCTATCAAATGTCATAAGGATCGGCCGACTATACCCTCTAAATTTCTAACCTCCAATATAAACTTCGGCTCTGTCCGAAGTTAGCTTTCCTTTCTTGTTTTTTTTTTGTAGAAACGATTTTAGTAAAGAAATATATAGGTATTTCATTGTTATTTTCAGGGACTCCATCGAATACATTGAACGCTGGATTACCTATGCTTATTCATGGCCCGCAGTATCGGGCTCCATATGCAAATTATTCCTTATATTCACCATACAACAGCATAAATCATGGACCGTACCTAGCTCCTATAGTGCCGGTCCCTCCGCCAAATTTACTGGCATCGCAATTACGTACTCTGGATAATCGATCAAGTCACGAATCTTCAGCAACTACGAAAGTAACAATAGCTCCCAATATTACATTGCCGCAATGTGTCTCAATGGCTTCAATACGTTCCGTTACCCCGCAAAATAATAATGGATCAATAAATATCTGCGTACCGCAACCTGGCTTGCTAACAGTGACTACTGCCGGAAGTTTTCATTCAACAAACTCGACAGTCCATTCATTGAATCATTCTCATATACCAAATTCTATTAATGTTCCTGCATTTGCGAACGGAGCATGTGGAGCTGCTGCTCCTAAATCATGTACCATAACTTCCGGATTGTCTTCTCTTTCAGTAACAGCACTTCCCGCTGTTTTAGCACAAACTCTACCTCCTCCATCTACTCAAATATTTTCACAGACAGGGAACTTCTCATCTATGCCCCAGATGTTACCTACGCAACCACTTCAGGCCACTTCAATAACTTCCCAACACCAAACAATAACGCGATGCGAAAATTCTGTGTCCGCATCAACTTCTACCGCCTCTAACATAGGCTTATCTCTACCCCCTGTTCAAAGTTTAACGACTGCAGGCTCAAGTGTATCTGCGTCATCATTATCACCATCATCTGTGATACAAAAGGTTATTTCACCTAAAAGTGATATTGCTTGCAACAAAGACGGGGATTTAAGCTGCAGGTAAATAAACGTGTTAAAAAGTCCGAATATTCAAATACTATTTATTATTTTAAATGTGGTTTGCTAATCTAAGATACGTCGAAGCCGAAAATGATATACCTTTGCAGTTCAGCGGTTATATTATTTATTAGTTTTATTATAAGCTACACATTTATCGAATTGGACATATATATCAAATATAATTGACCGATATTTTTTTATTTTCATTATTAAACCGAGATTATTGGAGACGATAGATTCTAACTGACAAACAAAGAAGCCTTAGACTAATCACTAAAAACTGAAGGTCTTCACTAGGAAAGCAAAATAATAAGTCTATAATTCCTCTAAAACTTGTCCGATTTAACTCAATTTTATTTTGTAGGTATATGTATGTATGTAGGTATATATTAGGCATTAACAGTTTGGCTTCAAAACATATTCAAAAAACTTTTCTGAGCTGGCGCTACAACACGACTTAGGTTGGGGGTGAGAGTGGGCGTGACAAAATTTTGACACAAACTCGATCTCCACTGATTTTGGTCAAAGTCTCAAATCTTATTGTTCTATCTCTTATAGTCTTCGAGTTCCACGCGTTTAAAATTTTAACACGTTTGTATGGGAAATGGTATATGAGTATATGTCCTCTAAAAATCGGCTGATTTGGATAAAATTTGTTTTTCAGACAGGCAAACTCCTGTGTTTACTTTTTAAAGTGAATTACTTTTTTTTACAAAAAGTAATAGGAACGTGCTCCCCTATATAATAGGAATATATTACTATATTTTTATACCCTTGCAGAGGGTATTATAATTTTGTCCAAAAGTGTGCAACGCAGTGAAGGAGACATCTCCGACCCTATAAAGTATATATATTCTTGATCAGGATCACCTCCTGAGTTGATATGAGCATGTCCGTCTGTCTGTTTCTACGCAAACTAGTCTCTCAGTTTTAAAGCTATCTTTAGCTAAACTTTGCACACACCCTTCTTTCCTTTGCACGCAGTATATAAGTCGGAACGGCCGGGATCGGCCGACTATATCCTATAGCTGCCATATAACTGATTGATCGGAAATGGTATAACTTTGGTGTTTTAAGAGTTAGAGAGTTCAAATTCAAAGGTTCAAAGGATCGGCCGACTATATCCTATAGCTGCCATATAACTGAACGATCGGAAATGACCCAACTTTCGTGTTTTTGAAGATAGAAAGCTGGAATTTAGTACAGATTATATTTTTGGTCAGTTGATCCAACCTACCAAATTTCATAAGGATCGGCCAACTATATCCGATGTTTGCGATATATATCCGGTTATAGCTGCAAGGGTATATAAACTTCGGCTCCGCCCGAAGTTAGCTTTCGTTTCTTGTTATTAATAAAATAGATTACGCATTAAGGTATTGACTGCTACCATTTGTTTACCGGGTAGGCTTATGGTTATTTAAAAAATAATTTTTTTTTTAAACACCTTAATTTTTGGATTACACCGTCTGTCTGTCCGTCTGTCTGCCTGTTTCTACGCGAACTAGTCTCTCAGTTTTAAAGCTGACATGAGAGCTATTTTTGGCAAAAAATTACGACATGCCAAATTTCATAAGGCCGACTATCGTCTTGATCGGCCGACTATATCCTATATCTGCCATATAACTGACCGATCGGAAATGACCCAACTTTATTAAAATTTAAAATTTTCATTGAAGTGAATTTTACTAATATTTGAACTTTTTACCAGTACAAACACTAGGGCGCAAAACAATGTATCTACATCATTGTCCATTGTTACGCAATCCGTTAATGTGGGTTCCACATTTTGTGGAACCGCTTCGAGTCAATATGGTATTACTTCCACATTATCATCAAGTTTGTCGATACCGCCATTAACAGGATGTATATCAATATCTTCTCCTAAAGCAGGACTTTGGTTAAAGTAAGTGTGACGTTTTTCTACATATGAATTTGTTCAAAAAAAAATAAATATTTTTTTGTATTTCCTAGTTCTCCCGCTGTCACTACAACAATGTCATCTTGTGGATTGTCGGCACCCGTGGTATCAAGCGCTTGTGCCAGGCCTACACCGCCATTGTTAAATATATCTGCAACAAATATAGCTAAAGTTGCTGCCAATGCAGCTATGTCAAATACTCACATTACAGCAGCTACAAGTAATCAGTGTTTTCAAAGTACGGCGTACATACCCGCACATTCTGCACAACTTGCATCTTCTTCAACAAGTGTAATTTCTTCAACGGCCGTCAGTTCCTTTTCTTTAGTGTCACGTACCTTAAGCACCAATGTACCAATGACAAATGTTTCAACAAACTCGGCACCATCTTCAATACACCCAGCTACAGTAATATCAAACACATCTGCAAATACGCCCCACCCATTCTCTGCAGAATCTCTTTTTCAACCAAGCAAAAGTATGAAAACCATCAAAAGAAAAACACAACTTTTAAAATATTGTATTTTTATTGGCACAGATGATCAAGCGGATTTGTTGCGGCGAGAACTTGACAGTAGGTTTTTAGATCGGTCGGGCCTTGCTGTAACACCTACACCTTCAACAGCCACAGCATATATTCGACCTGAGCTTCAACATCATCAACACCATCATACGCCTCATCATCATCAGAATCAACAGTTGTTTTCTTCTGCATCTCCAGCCCAAGTCACTTCAGGGCAACTGTTGCCACCACCATTATTTAAAGACATTTCAAAACTTTCGGCCGTCGATCAACAGTTTTATCGAAATGGTATCGGTATGCCAAATGGATACGCAGGATACTCCCCAACCGGTATTTTACATAGCGGCGTAGGAGGATCAACGCCGTTTGTCACTCCCAATCATTTGACTTCATTTTCTTCAAGGGTAAGAAATTATACCAATTATTTAAGGCTAATAAACCTTTTTTTAATGCAGTGGTCGGCACTGCCCTATCCCACGGGCAAAGGAAATTTCTCTTACCAAACTCTGCCACACACACACAGTCCAAATGTGTGAAACTTCATGCCCCGACTACTTTTTGCTATTTGTTACTAATATGAATGCGTTAAAATCATATCAATGTATTGGGTGCCGAGCACTGCTTTAATGCGTACAATCATAGCGTTTCTAGCTCAGTTGTTATCAAAAAGATCATGCACAAAACAAATGTCCTCCCATCAGTAATATCAAAATACAAGAAAGGAAAGCTAACATCGGACGGACCCGAAGTTGATATACCCTGGCAGCTAAAACCGGAAACATCGGTCGATCCTCATGAGAATATAATAAATTTATTACAATAAAGCTAAAAAAAAGTCCCAATCTTCAAAAATATCAAAATTGGTATTTCTACCAAAAACCATTTCCGATCGTTCAGTTAAATGGCAGCTCCAGGATATAGTCGCCTGATCCTTATAGGTAGGTCGGATCAAATAACTAAAAATAGACTCTGTACAATGTTCCAACGTCCTATCTTCAAAGTTGGGTCATTTCCGATTGTTCAGTTTTATGGCAGCTATAGATTTTGCCAAAAAAAAGCACTCATGCAAAAGTCCAACTCTATATCTCAAAAAAAAAAAACAAGCATACAAGTTACAGCATTTCCGATCAATCAGTTATACGGTAGCTATAGGTTAACATCGGCCGATCCCGGTTGTTCCGATTTATATACTGCGTGCAAAGGAAAGAAGGGTGTGTTCAAAGTTTTAAGTCGATAGCTTTAAAACTGAGACTAGTTTGCCTAGAAAGAAACAGACGGACATGCTTATATCAACTCAGGAGGTGATCCTGATCAAGAATATACAGATATACTTATAGGGTCGGAGATGTCTCCTTCACTGCGTTGGACACTCAAAAATTTGTATACCCTCTGCAAGTGTATAAATAGATATATTTAATAGAATTTATTTATTTATTTATTGTACTCTGCACTCAAAAGTTGCAAACTTTAGGTACAGACGGGGATCGGACGGAATGTGTGTTACATATTTGCTTAAATATTAAACTTATAACAAATAACAATTATTTACAGATGTGTTAACAAGTTATTTACACTTAAATTATTTATAAATTTAATAACAGCTTAGATGAGTTCATATGAGATGCAAAAGGTTAGCTGATTTAAGGAAGTTTAAAATTAGCTGGAGGTTGTCAGGTTTAGGGTCAATTAACAGTTCCGTGAGTTTAATATTTGGAAAATTTGTTCTATGTGTTTGTAGGGCGGGACAGTCGTCAAGGATATGGGAGATTGATATGTAGTCCGTGGTGCAGAACTGGCATTGGTTGTTTGGGGCTGTGAGAAGCGATGTTCGTGGGTGAGCCTGGTGTGGCCAAGTCGAAGCCGGATTATTTTAGTGATCTCTTTTGTTAGTAGGTTGGAGGTCTGTGTAGTTTTAGTGTAATCGGCTATGCTTTTTGCTTCAGGATTGATTTGTTGGTACCACTGCTATGATTTTTGCAACATTTTAGGTTTATTTTTGAGAGACTCCGTTTTTAATTGTTTGTTAATGTCTCCACGGTTTACATTTGTTGTAGAGAATAGTGGAGCGATGGTCGCTCTTTTCGCTGCTGCATCGGCATATTCGTTGCCTTTGGTTTCGACGTGGCTGGAGACCCATAGGAGCTTGGTCTACCCTTGCAGAGGGTATTATAATTTTGTCCAAAATTTTTAATTTTGAGCATGTCCGTCCGTCCGTCTGTCTGTTTCTACGCGAACTAGTCTCTCAGTTTTAAAGCTATCGACTTGAAACTTTGCACACACCCTTCTTTTGCACACACCCTTCCTTTGCATGCAGTATATAAGTCGGAACGACCGGGATCGGCCGACTATACCCTATAGCTGCCATATAACTGAACGATCGGAAATGACCCATCTTTCGTGTTTTTGAAGATAGAAAGCTGGAACTTGGTACAAATTATATTTTTTGTCAGTTATTCCGACCTACCAAATTTCATAACGATCGGTCGACTATATCTTATGGCTTCCACATAACTGAGCGATCGGAAATGGTATTTCGTAGAAATATCAACTTTCGTATTTTTGAAGATAGGAGCTTGGGACTTTTTTTTTTGGTATTTTATTGTAATTAATAGGTTTTATTACGATGTAATCATAAGGATCGGCCAACTAAATCCGATTTTTACGATATATATCCGGTTTTAACTGCAAGGGTATATCAACTTCGGCTCCGCCCGAAGTTAGCTTTCCTTTCTTGTTTCATGTTATTTTTGGTTATCCGGTGAATAATTTTTCTTAGAGGGGTGTCGTTTGCGTGCATGATAGTGTGAATTGTTTTTGTTTGTAAGTGTTCGATTCTGATTTCTAATGGTTCGATGTTAGATTCCAGGTATAGATTGAAAGTGGGTGTTGAGCAGAAGGCTCCCAGAGATGTTCGTTAATTAACGTTTTAATTGGTTTTATAAATGACTTTGAGGAGTTACCGTATATCGGTAAAGCATAATCAATTTTGGAAATACATAGATTTTTGACGATTTGAACAAGGGTGTTGGGGTGGCTGTTGTATTTTCCGCTGGAAACGAATTTTATTATATTTGATGATTTCTGTAGTGATTTGTGTAATTTATTGAAGTGGGGTTTGAATTTGTATTTTGTGTTGAAGGACAGACCTAACTAACTATTAGTTCGCTAACCGTGTTTATAATTGCGGATTGTGTAAAGACCTGGCATGAACATGGTTTTTTCCGGCAAATGTGAATGTGTTTGCATTTTGAAATTGAAAGCATTGCGCCGGATTTTTAACACCATTCATTGATTTCAGTAAACAGCATGTCGAGGTTGATTGAAATGTTTTTTTCTTTTTTCAATGGTATTAAGATGTTAAAATCATCTGCATAAGCTGTGTGACAGTGTTGCCGTCAGGTCGTTACAGAAAAAGAGGCTAGATTGATTATAAAAAAAGGATAGAAAAGGACAAAAATTTAAAAAAAAAAAGGACAAAAAACAAGACAAAATATTTTTTCCATAAATTTTATGTAGTATCACTCTTTGTTGGTGGCCAACTCGTTTAGATTATCGTCAATGTCGTCATTGTCGGCTTCTAAACTTTGAATTTCTGTAGATTGGTTGCTTCCAATCATTTTTAAATATTGCTCAGGAATTTCATATTCATGGCAACATACGCCTTTCCGGCGTAGCCCAAACCTAAGAAAGAAAAAAACAATTTAAATAAATTTGTGAAACACAAAAGTATTAAAATATTTACCTGATCGATAAAATCGCATTTAACGTTTCTATTTGCAGTCGGTTGCGCAATTTGGTTATTACCAAATTAGCTTGGCTAAAAACACGCTCAACTTCTTCATTTGACCAGGGCAGCGACAGAAGTTGTAGAGCAAATGTTGCCAATTCCATAAATGGGTTATTGCCAGCCGAGTCCTTATAATTTCTCACCTCTGCCCAAAACGCAATTGTGGTATCAATATTAGTCCAATTAATAAGGTGTATTGTATTGTATTGCGATACAATTTTCTCGATACCATTGCTAGGTATTTTAAAAAATTCTAAAATTAAAACAATCGGATCTTTTTTTGCGCGAAAACCTTTTCGACCGTAAATGTTTCGATTTTTTTTAATATTTCAAAGTTATCAGGTAGCCTGAAAGTAAATAAAATTAAAATTAATTGACCGATTAAATAGTAAACTATCGATAAAAAATTATCTTACCTTTTCTTTAACTGGATGATAAGCTCTAGTACAATGTCAGTACAATGCTGGCGGATAATATTCTCTGTCGTGTCATCAATTTTATGTTTAATCGTTTTTAAATGAGACTCAAACTCGTACCCCAAGTACAAATCCCGTTTCATGATTGGTTCAATTTCGTCATTAAAAATATTCACGTCGGCGTCAGAAGGAATTATTTTCACTTTCAACGTATTTATCCCAAGTATAAGGTCTCCTAGCAATTTAGTCGGATTGGAATTTTTTGACTGAAAGTTCTTGTTTATACGCTGCATATTATCGAGAATTGGTTTTAAGAATACCAAATATAAATTGTTAGTGTCGTTAAACAAATCGCTTAAAATTAAGGCTTTGTGGCATTTTTCTGTTAATGCAGTGGTATTAAAATGCATCTTCAGCTCAATCCACTGATTCAAAATACGCTTAACTGCATGCTCGATCGACAGCCACCTCGTATCAGAAACTCTTGGGATTTTAAGAGGAGCCTTAAGAAATAATTGTAAAAAAAATTGTTTAACTGAAAATTCATTTATTATATTACATATTATCTATATACTCTTCGACAAACACAAATACAAATCTTACATTTTAGTATATAATTAGTATAAAAAACGAAGACATTGTTTGATAATCTGTAATTAATATATTAAAAATGTTAAAACACATATATATATTCAAATTTTAGCTTTCACTATACCTCATCATTATTTATGGCTTGATACAGCTTGCGGTAAGCAATTTGCCTACAAGAGCTTTTGCAGAACCATGCGTATGTTTCGCTCACTATGAATTCCAGTGATTGTGGCAAAGCCTGCTTACAAGCAGCATTTACGGCCAATTGCACGGAATGGCATACACACTTAATCAAAACTAATGACGGCACCGACTTCTTCAATTCTACATTCAAACTTTTCTTATTACCCACAATTACATTGGCATTATCAGTGCCAATTCCAATTAAATTGCCAATGGAAAGTTTGAGGATTTTTAATTTTTCCAGTAGGCTATTTGTAAGGCTTTGCGCGTCTCCACTTTCAATTGAAATTAAGCACAAAAATGTCGAAGTGATTTCCAATCGCTTTGCGCTGTAGAAAATTATAGCAACACCTAAAAATATTTAAATAAATGAATTTTGTTTAATTATATAAATATCGAATTGCCGTGATCTTACCAAGAACTTTAGTGGTGCTTATATCAGTCGATTCATCAACAAGCAGACTGTATTTTTCGTCTCCAATGTCATTCCTTAGGTCCTCATTGAAGTGGACTGCTAGAACGTTTTTAATTATATTGGTGCACTTGGTCCTATGCAACCTCAAATCTTTGGCGCCAAAATGACTACTGCATAATTTGCTGAGGTGGCCAACTGGATTTGTGGCAGCATGCTGTGCAACAAAAATAGCCAGTGCCGCTTCTTGTTTACAAACTGCGTTTGTTGCTATCGGCTTAAAATTAATTTTATTTGCCTGGGCATAAGGCTGCGCATTTTGTATGTGCTTTTTCGTCACCATATGTGCACGGATTTGGTCAATTTTCGGGTTTATACTGCATTTGCAGTATTTACAGTACGCCTTTTCATTGTCTTTTTGGTCACGACACATCCACTGCATTAGATCCGGCTGATTTAGCCATGAATCACGCAACTTTTGCTTGTAAATTTCTTTTGGCATCTTTCCCGCACAAATTTCACAATAAAAGTAACAATTGTAGCACTGTATATCGATATATACGAGTACAACAGAGTTGCATTAATTTAAAAGTGCTGCTATCGATATAAAAGTAATGTACATTTGGATTACTTTTCAGCACTTTACACAAAAATAAAAAACGGATAAAAAAGGCCAGATCAAAATAGAAAAAGGAAAAAGGCTGACGCAGTTAAAAACCGGACAGATCTGTCCGGAAAAAGGCTAAAACGGCAACACTGCTGTGTGTTGAAGTTCATTGTGCTTCTCGATTATATCTGAGAGACTTTTGAACGCAATGAGAAAAAGTACTACCAAGAGGGGGGATATCTCTACGTAATGCCATTGTGGAGTGGGTGTATTCTTGAGGTGTTATCATTGGCACAAACTCTTATTTTCCTGTTTGACATAAAGTTCATCACACATTTGATAATTAATGTATGATTTGATAATTCCTGATAGAATTTATTATTATTATTATTAAAAATCATTTGAGTTTAAAATTAAAAAATTTAAATAAATAAAATTGGTAGAGCTGGAAGCACTACACTGTAAAAAACGTTATATAATTAAAAAAAAAATGTTTATAGGAAGAAAACTTGTGGAAAAAGAAAGTGCTTAATCAAGCCTTAAATAATAAATTTTTTTAACTTGCCTTTATTTCTTGCATCTTCTCTTAGCTAGACTAACAAGAGGTGCGTCAAGTCTTAAATTTTTAACCTAACTAACAGTCATATTGACGATACAGAGTTAGACGGCTCTAAAAAAATATTGCTGGTCGAATCGAAGGTCGTTGTGTCGAAGGTTAGATCCGATAGAAACCCAAGTCAATGCCCGAGCCAAAAAAAAAGGGTGCGAGGACAGTTTTTTTTTTAGGTCACTTTTTGCTTCTGTATTTAATCTTTCATTGCGAGGATGCCCAGGTCACGGTTGATGTTTTCGTTGCGAACATGCCAAGGTGACCCAGTGATAGTTTTCACTGTTTTCACTCATTTTGCGCACTGTATGGGGTCTAAGTTGCTGCTGTTCTCGTTCCCCCACATCTGCGGGATCCATACGTCCAGAGTGGCTTTAGAACTGAATTCTAGAGTAGTACCTTGTAGTCCAGGCATAGTGGCGATCGTGAGTTTATGACCCAGTGGAGGCTGCTGGGTTTTAGTTTTAGGTGGATCTTCTTGCATTCGATGTGCTTACTCCAGGTTAGTCGTCAATCGAGGCGGACGCCAAGGTACGTTACTTCGTAAGCTTGGGGGATTTGCATACCGCTTAGTGCAGGGCTGTCCAAGCTTTGCAAACGGCAGAGCAAAATCCATACCGATGTAAAAAAAATCATTTGGGTGCCTATTATTATACTATGACAAATAATGCATAGTTTCATCGCATCAAGGGGACAATTCTGACAGCAACAAAAACAAAAATGTGTTTCTTGTAGTGTAAAGTTTTCGGCAATCCAACCAAAAAAAAAATGCAATTGGTTTAGCACGATTGAAAAAAATTGGGATAACACGAAAAATTGTTATTGAAAATGCTCTTTGCTTATGCTGGGAATAACAAATGTATATGACTTTACATTTTCCATATGAAAGTCTTCATCGCTGTGAGCCCAGCAACCCAAGGAGTTTCTTATCGAGGTGGTCGTTTCAAATGGGGCGCTAAGATTTGCGTGGGCCCTCCAGAAGGAAAGTCTAGTCGAGTGATCGGGTTTCTTCTTTAAGGCGTTGCTTTAAAGCTGGTAATCTGTTTTGCCAATCACAACGCGTGTACCGCACCGAGTAGAGATTTTAGGTGCTGCAACGTGTACGTGTTCTAGGGCGTTGGGCGAGTTGATAGGAAACTCACGTACTTTTTGTATTTAAGCCCGTTCGTTTTTGGCGACGTCAGGCTGAAAGGGTGTTTGGTTATTTCTGGGCTTTGAAAAAGCGTTAATAGCACAGGCGCGAGGTCTAATGATAAGTCCAAGACTGCTTTGGGACTTATTAGATTGCGTGCCCAAACCTGGATCTATTGAGGGTGTCACTGTGCCTGCTGCTTTGGCGATTGTATAGAGACAATGATCAATGAAGGGTCTATTGGGAAAATAATAAAATGATTATGTCGTTCGACTTTGGTTTAATCTATGAGAGTCAATTCTTCCTTTTTGATAGTGTTTTTTCTCTCTTTTTGATAGTGTTTATCTGATGGGAACGTCCGAAAAATTTCTTAAGCGATAATATTTCTCAAGCGGCTTAAATACACGATAGAGCTAAAAAAAACGAGTAAACTTTGGGTACTTTTTGTACAATATTGAAAGATATTAAAATTTGGTAGAGCTAAAAAAAAAACGAGTAAACTTTGGGTATTTTTTGTACAATATTGAAAGATATTGAAATTTGGTATTTTTATTATACAACTCTTAAGAGGTTCTTTTGGTTTTTTTTTGGAAAAAATTGATTTTTTTTTTAAATAAAATGAAAGTTACATATGTGTAGAATTTACGTGCCAAGGAATGTTTAGATACGACGCGTATTTCTTGAGCTAGAGCGTTTCAAACATACCCATGATAAAAAGAAAGCTATCTAAAGGCAAAGTTTCAAAAAACTTTAAACGTGTTTTTCTCGGAACCAAGTTTTCAAACCTCTTGTCGCACACAGGGCTCGTTCTATTGATCCAATTTCCTTCATTCAAAAAATGTTTAAAAGTAAATACTTTTTTGTATGCCTTCTACCCAAAAATTGGCATAAAAAAATGTTTATTTATAATTTTTAAACGAGATCGGAGTAAAAAAAAAGAGAAAAAATGTCATTTTTTTTTTTTAAACGTCCATGAAATTGGTTGATTTTTACCAAAATTAATTGTCGTTAGGAATAAGGCATAGGAAGTTCCATCAATTTTAATAAATTTCCGTTCAACAAGCCTGTTAAACTATGCCTTACTCGGTATCTACCTACCCAAGTTATTTTGTTATCGGAGGGCATGATTGTCTGTATTTTCCATAGCACGCAAGTAAAGGGTCGGAAATTCTGCTGCAGCGCTAACTGTGTGTCAACGCTCAAATTTTGTATAAGCCCTATCATTGGCTGTCATTTTGCTTCTCTTGCTTCTCAAACTTTAGGAAAAAATGTTTTTATGAAAAAAATTCTCAGAAATTTGGAACAAGTTTTTTCTATTAAAAATAAAAAGAGGGAAGCCCCTGTCTCCGGTGCCTTTTTAGGTATTAACTGATCCTTTATGATTTTTATAATCTTGGTAAATTTGGTTATTCGCTGCTGCAATGATAATTTCCGGTGGAGTGAATGAGATTGTTTTAGCGTTAAGGGGAGGGTAAGGTCAAATCATGCGAAAAAAGCCATGTTTTTGTGATTTTTTTCCTGACGGCACAGTTAAAATTTATTTATTCAACCAACGGTATATTAAAGTATGACATTAGAAGAATGTTTTATCAAATTTTTACAAAAAAAAATTTAAAAATATGGCAATGGTAGCAATTGTCCGGACGTGTCGCCAAAAAAAGTTGAATTGCGGTGCCTCTCATAACTCGGTGCTGGATCATTTGTAATCAAAAAATGAAAGTTCATTCGTTAGATAATAGTTCGCCCCAGGTAACGCTGTGAAGGTTTTTTGAAAATTGCAATTTTTTAATTTTTTCGAAGACTTTGAAGTGAAAAACTCAATTTTTTGGGAAAAAAATCGGTTAATTTGTCATTGCAAAATCAAAATTATGAACAAAAAAAAAACTCGACAGCGTTACCTCGTAAAATATGTACAGAAATAGTGTTTAAAATTTCAAAAGGATCGGTGCAGTAGTTTTGAAGTTATGAGGGGCACCGACTTTGAAAACGTGAGTTGTGGGAAAAACGCTTTAAAGTTTTAAACACAAAAAAATCCAGTGTAAAACGTTTATGAGCAACTTCGTCAATAACTAATAACTTCGTCAATTTTGCTTTAATTGACTTGAAATTTTGACACAATATTAGTCAAATATTATGCATTCAATTTAAAAAAAAAAAAAAAAAAAAAAAAAAAATTAAAAAAAAAAAAAAAATTAAAAAAAAAAAATTTAATACCTTACCCTCCCCTTAAGCTGATAAACGATTGCTTTGCGAATGGTTTGGCTCAGTATTCTTTACTACGGGTGGGTTTGGGTGGTTTTTCCCACAGAGGAGTTTTGAGCTTTCTTATGTACTTGCGCTGTGAATTTTCAGCGTCTTGTACAACGATCTCGGCGATGTTACATTACATTTTTTTACTTGCATATGTTTATACATAAAACTAAAACAGTGGTCGGCACGGCCCTATCCTGCGGGCATAGGAAATTTCTCAGCAAAGTCTCTGCCACACACACAATATAAATGTGTGAAACGTCAAGCTCACAGCCTAATTTCTGCTTTTCGTTACTAATGCCTTAAAAGTATATAAATGTATTGAGTGCCGATCACTGAACAAAAAGATTGCATTTATCGAATTTTTTTTTATCATCGTGATGATAAAGGTGATTTGAAGATGATATAAATCACTTGACATACAGTCAGCGCCACAAAAAAAGACGCTCTTAAAAAAATTTGAAAATTGTGCAATCACTATGCTGGGGTTTCCCTAAATTTTATTCTTTGGACATTATTTTTTTAGGAGGGTTAACCTTGACTATTTTCGACATAATTTCGTCCTTTGAAGAGCGCTGTTGTTTAAGTTGCTTTTGGTAGAATTTTTTTTGTAAAGACACCTGTAAAGTCATGCCAAAGCAAAAGCAGTTCACTGATCGCAATAAAGACAAAATTATTTTATTGGCGGAACAAAATGTGTCAAATCGGCAAATATCGGCTGAAACACATTTCAATGAAAGCTCAGTGCGTCGCTTTTTAAAAAAATATCGTGAGACAGGTGAAGTAAAAAAGAAAGAAGGAACAGGTAAAAAAAATGCACCACGTCACGAGAAGATCGCTTTATTATGAGGACGAGCCTGCAGGATCGTTTCAAAACTGCAGTGCAGATAAGATCTGAGGTTCAGGAACAGTTTTCAAAAGATGTTTCGGAGCGAACTGTTCAACGTCGGCTTAACTCCATGGGAATGCTCGCAAGATCACCTGCAAAAAAGCCACTTTTGAATCCGCGAATGAAAAAAAATCGTCTAAACTGGGCAAAGGACAAGGAAAATTGGACTGCTTCTGATTGGTCAAGAGTGCTACTTTCAGATGAGTCCAAATTAAATCTCATTGGATCTGATGGAATTCTCAAGCTGCGCCGTAGACGTCGGGAACGCTATTCTGAAAATTGCTGCATAGCCACAGTAAAGCATTCACCGTATGTTATGGTATGGGGATGCATATCCAAATATAAAACGGAATCAATTTTACTGGTTTAGGGTATGGTCAATGCAGAAAAATACAAATAAATAATTTTAAGTGGAGTTCTGCCTAGCATTGAGTCCATAAGTGAAGAAGAACAAGAACCCATTTTTGAGGATGATTCTGCACCTTGCCATCGAGCGCGATCTGTGAGTTACTCAGTGTCCGATTGTTATGAAAACAACTTATTCAGTTAAATTTATCATTTTTCTATCTAAAGATAAAAAATTTGAAGGAAGAATTGGGCATTAAGTCCTTAGATTGGCCAGGAAACAGCCTAGACCTTAATCCAATCGAGAATGTTTGGGCCTATATGGGTGCCAAAATAAGAAAGCGAAAGCCCAAAACTATGGAGGATTTAAAACAAATTATAGAAAAGGTATGGATACACGATATAACGAAGGAATATTTGTGTTCCATTTACGATTCTATGACCAATAGGGTCAAATCTGTAATAAAGGCCAAAGGCGGAATTACTAAGTATTAAGCTAAATTTAAAAAATATGTCTATTGTTAAATTGCCTATATTTAAATTTTTTTTATAGTTAGTACGGTATTCAATTGGAAATAAATAGTTTTTGTTGAATTTTTTCATTATTATAACTTTTATGAATTTTTTCCTAAAAAGTGCCATAATAGTGAAAAGTCGTTAAAACTAGGGTGAAACCAAAAACAACAATTTTTTTAATATTAAAAACAAATGTAAACTAAAAATTGGTATGCACTTTTATTAACATACCATCAGTTAACTTATTAAAAAAAAATTTGGGCAAATTCGAAATCATATAAATGAACCACAGGCCCTGAAAGTTAAAAATTTGTAAACCTTCAAAGTGCGGCTTTTTTTGTGGCGCTGACTGTATGTATACACATAGCCCATAAAAAAAATTATTTGTAGAGATCTTTAGATGACTGCAGTCAAGGATATATCTTCGATAATAAGGATTATACTTCCACGATTATACTTCGATGTATATATATTATTGATCAGGATCACCTCCTGAGTCGATATAAGCATGTCCGTCTGTCTGTTTCTATGCAAATATGTCTTTTAGTTATAAGCTATTGGCTTTTTCACACATTGCTTTCCTTTTCCCGCAGTATAATTGAGACGGTCAGGATCGACCGACTATATCCTAGCTCCCTTATAAATGATTGATCGGAAATGCCAAAACTTTGGTGTTTTTATAACCGGTACTTGTAGAGTATAAGTGTATAATTGTAGTCGGTGAATGTATGTACCATAGAGAAGGAATCATCTCCGGCCCCATAAAGTATTCTTGATCAGCATCAACAGCCTAGTCGACATAGCCATGTCCGTCTGTCCGTATGAACGCGTGGATCTCAGAGACTATAAGAGATCGAGGCAGGCCCGGCGACAGGTGGGGGAACGGGGTGTTTCTCCCCGGGCCGGGACTTCTGAGAGGGGCCCGGATTTTTGGCGAAAACTCAAATAGACTGTGTACAAAAAAAAAAGATCAGTTATAAATTATCAAATTATACTATACATTAACAAAATTCAACAAAATTTTCGTTGTAGGATTTGGGATAGAGACTTCTACAATACCCACGCAGATCAAGTTTGTTTCAAAATTTTTCCACCCCCCTCCTGCTTTCACAAATTGCACTAATACAGAAAGGTTTTTTGAACAATTTTTGATGCCAAATTATTTCTATAGTTAATATATATATCTCTGAAAAACAAATTCCATCCACATTGACCGATTTTTGGACTAGATATCCCCATATCTATGTATATGTTGATGTACATATGTATGTAGCCAAAAATCAAACATTGTGTGCGCTGGCTTCGAAACGAAATCGCAGGCACACATGCACCCGCATATCAATTCAAATACGTGTCATGGTGCTCCTTTCAGAGACTGAAAACCAGAAACCATTCAATGAGAATATGAGCTTAAGATTCAATTCAATTCAATTCAATTCAATTTATTCACTCAACAAACTTAAATTTACAAAAAGTGCGTGATACTAATATGGGATAGATTTTTAAGAGTTCAGGAAGAATACCTTATCAACTTAGAATAGATAATGGGTGGTGACAAATTGTTTGGTGTATCCAATATTAAAGTGTGCGGGAAAAATACAAAAACCGCTTACACATGAGCTTAAGATGAACGAAAGATGAGCGTAAGAAAGAGAGTAAGATTTCTCTGGGGCCTGCTGGGGCCTGTCGCAAGAAATTTTTGGGTCCATTTTCCTTATATGAAATAGGTCGTCTATATGCTGTATTATTAGTGATTATAGAGGTTAGTTAAATTTTGGGAAGAAGAGATGAGTAACGGGTATAATATAGTCGGGAAACTCGACTATAGCCATCCTTTCTTGCTTAAGTTAGAGGTATGGGCAGTATATTTCTAAAGATTTTATTTCGGGCTATCGGTTTTCGGTTTCGAAGTTTATTAAACTTTATAAGGATCGGCTGACTATATCCCATAGGGGACATATTACTTTGAAATCTCTTAAATGTTTTGTGCTAAAGTCCCTGTTTTCCCTGTTTTGTGCTATTTTAATTTAAAAAAATTAAACTCGTTTTTGTCATCATTTTAAAAAAAGAATTTATGCTGTTTTCTTTCATATAAAATTTTAAAAGAAAACTGGTCGTTGGAATGCCATGCATGTTCGTATAGCCTGGGAAATTTACTATCACCAAAATAAACAAAGTTCTGAAAAAACTGGATATCCAGTAACTTTGTCCAGCCAAACTTCTAATATAAATGTAGCATCAGTCAACGCTTCCATTGCTTCAAGTGGAGGAAATGCACCCTCGTCATTGAATAACGTTGTAGCTACTTCAGTGATTGGAAATGGAATCGCAGTGGCAAGTGGACCTACTACAACTTTATGTAATAAATCAACTCCATCTATTGGTCTTAACGCAACATCACCACATCTCCATCGCGCAAGTGAACTTCCACCTGCCACTTTCACTAGTGCATTACAAGGAAGATTGTCGTTTGAAGCTTCACCTCTGGCATCAAGTTTTATTGGAGCACCTCCTAGTCATATTGGTAAATATTCATAAAACTTATACACCTGCAACCAAAAATAATTTTTTTTAGGAACGACTGTTTCGCCATTTGGACGTTATGTGAATCCCTTTGGATTTCCGGGACTTACGCATTTTGGTGGTCATATAGAAGCATGGAGGTAATTAAATTATCTTTAAATTTGGTAGCCGTGATACAACCAAAGGCGATTATATTTCTCAGAGACTATAAGAGACAAGTGTAGGATTTGGCATGGAGACTCCTTTAATTCCCACGCAGTTCAAGTTTGTTAATTTTGGCCCCTCTTTAGCGTTAGTCAGGAAGGTAAATTAAAAAAGTTTTAAAGCCAAAATATTTCTATGGCTTATTTTTATCTGGAAAAGTAAATTTAGCTAAATGGACCGAATTTTAGGGAAGTTATATACATTTATATACCGATCCTCAAATGAAAGTGTTAAAATTTTTAACGCGCGCATCTCGAAGACTATAAGAGATAGTACTAGTAATAGATAGTACTTGAATGGTATCCTATGGTATCCATAGGATACATTGTTAACATTTTTTAGCGTCATTTAAAACCAATTTTTTCGAATCGCGTAACTAAGATTAGTAGAGCTCAAGAATCACGTACGGAAAATAGTTCTCATCAATAAAAGTAAATTAAGGGGTAATGGTATATTTAGTTCGAGTCCCTTATAAATTAACATTTTTGTCTTCTTTAACTATTTTTTGGAACCTGACAATTTTTTCCCCTTCAACTCTACAGTGCACTAGGGATGCAACCATGGGCAAAAAATAAAAAAAAAATAAATTAAAAAATTTAAAAAATTAAATAAAATTTTCTTTATGGATAATATATATTTTTTGTGTATTATAAAAGTCCTATTCATGGTTAAATAAAGTTTTAGTTAAGTTGCCTTCCGATCACCCCCGTTTTACATATTTTTAAAGTATTTTTTTTTAGTTTTTTAAGATAACCAGGGTCAGATAACCAACAATATAATCGTAAAGATAAGACCGTAGAAAGTCCCAGCCTATGGAAAATAAACGTCCGATGTTTTCCTTTTTTCATATTTTTGGCGAAATTATACCACATACCAGACTACTGCCACTAACCATACAGACAATCCATTTCATACAACGAAAATGGACGCAAAAATTTCTTGCGATAGGCCCCAGCAGGCCCCAGAGCGAAATCTTACTCTCTTTCTTACGCTCACCGTTCGTTCATCTTACGCTCATATTCTCATTGAATGCTTTCTGTTTCTCAGTCTCTGAAGGAGCACGACGAAGAAGGTTGGTCTGCGCTTAGATTGTTCTTTGTATGTATGCGTGTCACACATTCACATACACGGAGGCATGTGTGCGTGCGATTTCGTTTCGAAGCCAACGCACAAAATTTTGATTTTTCTAACTTTTCAGGCTTGCTACCCTAACCAAATTCGGGTACTCGTTATTTGGTGAAATGACGAAAGAAATAATATAATTTGTTATATTATATTTTTTAATATTTCAGCATACATTTTACATTTATTTAGAAATAAGATTAAGTGTTAGCAGTAAAATGTTTTGTGTATACATATTTTTACGAATCATTAAAAATCAATTTACTGAGATAGGAACAGGGTATATTTCAGTCGGAGTCACTTAAAACGCCCATTGCTTTTAAGCTTTTGTTGTTCTGCAAGAGGCTTGTGCATGCCTGCTGTAACGATGGAACGATATCACAGTGCGACAAAAAAAAAAATTGGAGGAACTTTTGAAGAGACCTAATAGGAATTGTTCATTAGGTCGAATATACATAGTATAAGTTTAGAAAAAAGGGACTTTTTTGTTCTAAAAAATTCCTAAGCACGTAATTTTAAACCGATTTAAAAATTTTTGACGTTTTTTAATAGTTAAATGTTGTAGCTTTTGAAAAAAAAATAGATCTTTAATTTATTTTAACAAAAAAGATAAAATTTTGACGCAAGAAACTGAATTTTTTTGTCGTATTTTTCGGACTTTGACGCCATTTTTTCGGTACAACTTCCAAAGAATGGTATCATTTTTGATACATATCAATATTGTCTCGTTAATTCTGAATAAAACGAGACCAATTTCATGAGGAAATTATGAAAATTGTTGAAGTTATAACGCTTTTCCTAAAACAAGCCAGTCCAATCTTGCTAGCGTTCCGGAGTTGTAGTGTGCCTTTCCATTTCGCTTATTCTTTTCTTTTACATAATTTTTCTCCGGAGGAAATGCGTTAAACCTTCAACAATTAATTAAATATTTTTTTTTTCAAAAGCTACGACAATTACCTATTAAAAAACGTCAAAAATTTTCAAATCCGCGTAAAATTACGCGTTTTTTCTAAATAAATCAAGATTTTGAGGGTGTAAGAAATATTTCAAACACGGTTTTATACTATATTTATACTAGTATATATACTATACTAATTGACCTAATGAACAATTCCTACAAGGTTTCTTCAAAAGTTCCAAATCACTGTCGCACTGTGTATTTATGGGAGTGTGAAAACAAAACAGCTGATTGACTTGTTAAACTTTTTTTTTTTTTTCAATTTTTCAGGCTCTTATTATTTTGGTTTATTGTGAGATCTAAATTAGTATCGTTAATTTAATAATTTCCTTTAAAATTTTGGTTCTTAAAAAAGTCGCCGCTCGAATTTGTTACCGACATACTATATACATATATGTAAAGGGTTTTTCAATAGGGGCGCATCAATTTTTTTTTTTTGAATAAAACAAACGGTTTGACTTTTAAACTAACATTTTTTTTATTATCGAATTTGAACATATACATTTAATTATGAAACTCGATTTCTTTCGCATGACCACCGCGTGCACAATTTACGAAGTCCACTCGTTGAACCCAATTTTCAACCACTTTTTCGCAAAAGTCGGTCGAAATTCCAGCAATTTCGCGTTCAATATTGGCTCTGAGCTCTTGCAACGTCGCCGGCTTATTGGCATAGACCAATGACTTCACGTAACCTCAAAGAAAATAGTCTAGAGGTGTCAAATCACACGAGCGCGGCGGCCACTCGACCGGTTCATTTCGCGAAATAACACGCTCATTAAACTTAGATTTCAATATTGCGGTTGTAGCGTGTGCTGTGTGGCATGTGGCCCGGTCCTGTTAAAAATAAATGTCGTCCACGTCCATTCCATCCAATTGCGGCAAAAAAATCGCAAAATTCGCCACAATGACGACACAGAATGGCCCAATTGTTGCGAACGTGGAGTGAGCGACACATTCGCGCCTTCTTGAACTGAAGCGCTGGCGGCTGCGATGTTTTCATCATTATGAGCACTTGCTCTCACGGGCACCGGAACATTATTTTGCCACTAGACGGTCGATTTTCGTACGGGCTAAATGGGTTAAATGGACCGTAAAATGGCCGTAATGCTCTTAAAGTAGCAGCAACAGAACGATTATTTTGATAAAAAATTTGCACAATTTGCAATCGCTGATGAGTGTGTAGCGTTCCATGATGAAATGTATACTAATGAAGTTTTATATGTCAAGAGAACAAGGAAAAACATGGCGTCGTTCGCCGTCCCTATCGGAAAAAAGTTGACCTATTGAAAAACCCTTTATATATATACATAAATTTATATATATATATATATATATCTATATATATATTTACATATATATATATTTAATATATATATATATATCATAGTGAATTGTCACATAAATTTAAAGTGGGAACGGCATTGCTTCTAAGCCTACTTTTCCCAATATATTTACTTTCAAAATGTCTGTTACAAATTCGCGCAGTTCGTCTATTAAAAGTGTCATCCAATTGGCACAATTTAACCCATTTGTTAAGATTCCAATATTCCGAAGGAAAAGAAAACAACCTAATTGGAATGGAGTGTGGTGAATCCTTATAACACCCCTGGCAGGAAGCAATAATGCACCTGCGTCCATTTTTTCTAACATTTACCCGATTCATTTCAAAAATATTTAAACCGAATATTTAAATGAATTATTTAAGGTTTAAAAAACTAAGTTTATTCTTGCGATTGATGATGATGCAGTCACGGACCCTTGGAAAGTATACGTTTAGTAAAAATATTTCCATCTCTATATATATATTTTTGAATGCAGAATTCATGAAAGACTTTCCATGCTGTGTGGTGGGCGGGGTTCTAGTCCTAGATGATACCAACCGACCAACTTAACACAATTCTTCTCTTGCTGCGTACTCACCAACAACAACAACAACTACTACAAACAACAACCCCCCTTGAAAAACCCCCCTTGATACAAAAAAAAAATAGAAACAAGAACAGAACGCGAATCGACTTCAAAAGTCCGCCTCGACATCCCATGCTAGTGTCACGCCTCGTTCTGGAGTCACCCATCCCGAGTCCCGCCTGATGGAGGACTGGGAGTTCGATCGGTTCTTCCCCCATATCTAAAAGCTCCTCAAAAACACCAATACTAATCACTTTCTTATCTCTTATTTATCTTCATTTCTAATCGCTTTCGCACTTTAGTAGGTCCTCACGAAAAACGCTCTTCACAGCGACTTTTTTTTAAGAATCAAAATTTTAAAGGAAATTATTAAATTAACGATAATAATTTAGATCTCACAATAAACCAAAATAATAAGTGCCTGAAAAATTGAAAAAAAAAGGTTACCAAGTCAATCAGCTGTTTTAGTGTCTTCACACTCCCAAAAATATCGTTCCATCGTTACAGCAGGCATGCACAAGCCTCTTGCAGAACAACAAAAACTTAAAAGCAATGGGCGTTTTAAGTGATGTCGACTGAAATATACCCAGTTCCTTTCTCAGTGTATTGTTTTTAATGATTCGTAAAAATATGTATACACAAAACATTTTACTGCTAACACTTAATCTTATTTCTAAATAAATGTAAAATGTATGCTGAAATATTAAAAAATATAATATAACAAATTATATTATTTCTTTCGTCATTTCACCAAATAACGAGTACCCGAATTTGGTTAGGGTAGCAAGCCTGAAAAGTTAGAAAATCAAAATTTTGTGCGTTGGCTTCGAAACGAAATCGCACGCACACATGCCTCCGTGTATGTGAATGTGTGACACGCATACATACAAAGAACAATCTAAGCGCAGACCAACCTTCTTCGTCGTGCTCCTTTCAGAGACTGAGAAACAGAAAGCATTCAATGAGAATATGAGCGTAAGATGAACGAACGGTGAGCGTAAGAAAGAGAGTAAGATTTCGCTCTGGGGCCTGCTGGACCCTTTCGCAAGAAATTTTTACGTCCATTTTCGTTGTATGAAATGGGTTGTCCATATGCTGTATGGTTAGTGCTACTGCGCAGCGGTGTTACTTTTTAACAAGGTAGCTTTAAGGCAGTTGCTGGTAGGGTCTATTCCAGGCACACGAAAATGTCTCTTACATAGCTTTGCGCGGAATTAACGAAGTAAATAAGAATATTGAAGATTAAACAAGTTACATGCTATTTTCGGAGGAGCCTCAAGGAGAAATTTGACGAACTCTGTGAACTCGCTACAGAATCCACAATATTTCTCTTGCCAAGCGTATGAAAGTCAACATTTATAAAGTTCTTCGGAACCTTCGACGTCGTATTCTATTACCTGACTTTTAAACATCTCATGCCTTTCAAACTCGACAAACTCAAACCGAAGGCTAATCATATTTTATCTTTCCTTTTTAGAACCAATAATTTGCAACGAAACGTTGCATATCATCCTTCAATATCATCAGCTTCAACAAATTGGTCCGGAAAAACAGATTCAGGGGTTGAAAGTGCACGACGCGAAGCAGAAGAGCGCGAACGTGAACTTCGTGAACGCGAACAAAGAGAACGAGACCGCCAACGACGCGAAAGGGAAGAACGTGAACGCAAAGAAAAGGAGGAAAAATTAAAACGAGAACAGCAAGAGAGGGAAAGGGAACGCGATCGTAAAGAACGTGAACGGGAAAGAAGAGAAATTGAGCGACGGGAAATAGAACGTGAGCGAATATTGCAACAGCAAAGAATTAACGAAAATAACAAGCAAACAGTCGCAGTTCAAGCAATGGTTTCTGTAAATGCGTCTGCGCGGGATCGCTCACCACTTCGTAATGTTGGAGATATGAATCCAGATATTCGGATAAAAGAGGAACATCCTCGTGCAAAAGATGAGCAAGAAGTAATGTTAATGCGCGCTTCGGCAGCTGTTGCAGGAGATCCTCGATATCATTCATCCTCATTAGCAGTTGTTCAAGCAAGTGCTGCAGCTGCTGCGGCCCATCATCATCACGCTAATATAATAGCTGCAAGTCGACACGGTTTGCCCCCACCACCGCATCTGGCACGTGCAATGCTTCCACCCACTTTAGGTGTTGGTGGACCTATAACACATTTTAGTGCTTCAGCTCCACCTGGATGGGGAATAGATCCCTATCGAGACCCATATCCCATTATTCGCTATAACCCAATTATGGAAGCTGCACTACGACATGAAGCAGAAGAAAGGCAAAAGGCTATAAATATTTATGCAGCTCAATCTGCATCTCATTTACGTGTAAAGGATCCTCCTCCTACAGTCAGTGCTCTAGGACCTACACAATCCCAACACCGGCTACAAACATGTGTTGTGAGTTCAACTGGTGTCCCACAGTCATCCCAAATTCAACAACTACCATTAACACAACTGTCAACAGGTATTGTGGTCGGTAAAAACTCAGGTCCAGCGGTATCAATAGGCATTCCAGTTCAGCATATGATAGCTGTCGATTCCTTAAGTCATCAAACTGTTAGCACGAAGGAAACTGACCATTCAATGGGAACAGTCGTAAGTGCTGCGACCGTTGGTCTTAGTACAGTTTCTGGTGGTGTAATAGGTTTATCTCCAGTGCCATCAGTCGCCCCAAGTCGATGATAAGCAAATAATTTATTTAAAGAGCGACCACGTTGGTACGTTGGAATTTTAAAAATTTCGACCAGCTCCAATTTACATTTCATCATCCTTATTACCTCGACCTAGTACCATGTAAAGCCTGAATAACACCAATATAAAGCGTGACGCTTTTGTAAAATACCAGAAAATTATTTTATAAGTTATAATATTAACTTTTTATGTTAATAATGGACTTAAAATTAAATAAATAAAACTTTTTAAGAGGTGAAGACTCCATATATTTTGAACCATCGAGCTGACATACATTACTGTAAACTTATTAAGAGGTTATATCTGTTTGGATATTTTTTGTATGTAATTTTTTTTATGTATATTGGATTTTTTTTAGATTATGTATATATACATATAATGGCTCTAGATCATTAATCAATAATGGCATAAAAATATTTATTTTTTATGTTTTGCATACAAATATTTTTTTCTCGATTATAAATCAAAATGAAGCAATGTTTATTAAGTCATAAAGGTATGTACGCAGTGTGTCACTAGGCTAACGCTCATGGGGTACAGTAATTTTTTGTAAAATATTGTTTAACCAAAATAAGAAATCGTTAGACCATAAAATCTTGAAAATACCCAAACGTACCATTAAATGCAACAAGTGCATCAGGATAAGGCTAGCTAAGATAACTTCACTTTTTTCGATTCATTTCGTAAAAAATAAATTTTTAGGAGATTAATTTCGTATTATTCCTTAAAATGCCTTTTCTTTTATGGTCTGGTCTGTGGGACTTTATGAAAAAAAATGTTTTTATGACATAAAATTCCGAAAAAAAATTTTTAAAAAGAAAATGTACATTCAGAACACAATATAAGGTTTTTTTGTTTCACACCTCTTACCTTTTTATACCCTTGTAGAGGGTATTATAATTTTGGTCAAAAGTGTGTAACGCAGTGAAGGAGACATCTCCGATAAAGTATATATATTCTTGATCAGGATCACCTCCTGAGTTGATATGAGCACGACCGTCTGTCTGTTTCTACGCAAACTAGTCTCTCAGTTTTAAAGCTATCATCTTGAAACTTTGCACACACCCTTCTTTCCTTTGCACGCAGTATAAAAGTCGGAACGGCCGGGATCGGCCGACTATATCCTATAGCTGCCATATAACTGATTGATCGGAAATAATATAACTTTGGTGTTATTAGAGTTAGAGAGTTCGGATTTGACATGAGTGCTATTTATATAAGTATATAGCTACCATATAATTGACAGAAAGTTGAAACTTCGTACAGATTCTATTTTGGCTCAGTTGATCTCACCTACCAAATGTCATACCGATCGGCCGAATATATCTTATAGCTGCCATATAACTGAACGATAGGAAATGATATTTGGTAAAAATACCAACTTGGTGTTCTTGAAGATAGAAGTTTGGGACTTTTTTTAGATTTTGAATCGTAATGAATTGGTTATATTATGATATTCTTATACGGATTGGTAAACTGTATCCGATTTTATCGATATATATCCGGTTGTAACTGCAAGGGTGTATAAACTTCGACTGCGCCCAAAGTTAGTTTTCCTTTCTTGTTTTTCTGTAATTTTTTTTATTGTAATATTCTGAAAAGACTTCTTTTAAAAATAAGATATTCTTGTTAAATATTGTTTGATTGTTTTACAAACTACAAGCAAAAATTTTATTGATGTACCTATAAAATTATAAAACACATATAAAATATACCTGGTGACGTTCCGTGTACGCATCCTTCAATTGGATAAAAAAATTAATGTTAGAATTAAAAACTATATTCATAGAAAAATCCTGAACATCCCAACATACTTATACACATCCATACATATATAACCCCTTAAATCTATATAAATCTGGTCGCTCGCCATTAAAGCACTTTGTTATTTTAAATAATAATATTACCTTCTAGTATAAAAAAAAATAAATTTAGTTTAGATAATAAGGCTATATACACTTTTGATTTGTAAATTTAAAATGTAAGTATAGAAAAGGGACATATTTAAAGCGCAGAAAATATTTATTACATAAATGTACATATAATACAACACAAAATATAATATTAAAAGTTCTTTACTCTTTTAGCTGTATTCAATAAACACCTATAAATTCTATTTGAAATGCACAAAAATACTTAATGCGTATACCTGTGAAAGCTTCATTCCTCTAAAAAGTTATGTATTTTTTTTTTTACACATAATTTTTTGTAAAAAGAATAATTATATTGGAATCACTTTATAAAAGATAAATTTAATTGTTTTCTTGCTTCACAATTATCAAGTAAAATTTAAATTGAAAGTGAAAACCGGAGCCTGCCTGACTAGCTGAAAAATTATAAGTTTAAGTGGTGCCACACAAATACATTAAAATGTTAGATTTTCGTTCGAATTTGTGTTCGAATAAAAATTTCAGAGCACAAAAAAAAACAGAGCAGAAAAATTTCCACCCACATGTCTGTCATGGGGCTTAAGGGGAGGTTCTTTGGATTTTTCCGAAAATTAAGCAAACTTTGAGAATGGATTGCAGGAAAATGAAAAGACATATGAACTTATGCTTTTGAACTTTTGATTTGTTGTTTATAAACGATTAAAAAAAATATTCAATATTCAGGAAATTCAAAATGGCGGCTTTAAAATGGATCTCATCGACCTCTATTTTTCTGCTTTGTCTAGTGTCGGGCCGCTGGTAGTGAACGGAAATTAGAAATGTATATAATTTATTAAAATTTATGGAACTTCCTATGCCTTATTCCTAACGACAATTAATTTTGGTAGGAATAAACCAATTTTTTCTTTTTTTTTTTACTTCGATCTCGCTTAAAAATGATAAATAAACATTTTTTTATGCCAATTTTAGGTATAAGGTATACAAAAAAGTATTTACTTTTAAACATTTTTTTAATGAAGGAAATCGGATCAGTGGTTCGCCCTGTGCGCGACAAGAGGTTTGAAACATGGTTCCGAGAAAAACGCGTTTAAAGTTTTTAGAAACTGCCTTTAGATAGCTTTCTTGTTATCATGGGTATGTTTGACAGCTCAAGAAATACGCGTCGTATCGAAATATCCCTTGGCACGTATATTCTACACATATGTAACTTTCATTTTATTCAAAAAAAAAAAATCGAATTTTTCAAAAAAATCCAAAAGAACCTCTCCTTAAGGCATCACAGGTTTAAATCAACGACTTAACAAAACCATGTTAGCCGTTTTTGACATCTAGTTTTATATCGGAACTTAATTGAAAAAAAATGCTAACTCCTTCTCTGAGGAAAACTCTATGAATTGATATAAATCAGAGAACTGCAACAAGTATAAAATTTTTGGTCATACTCACTCTGTTTGTAACAGAGTACTCAGTACTCTGTTTGATTTATTTCGTTTGCTTCGGGTATAAGTATTGAACTTTTCGTTTCTAGTCAATGTCAACGAACAAGTTCCAAACACGAGTAATGGGCCTATATATGATTTTTTCTAGTTAAACATGTTTGATTTAAATCCCTTCAGTACCATACCTCAAGGATTACTCAAGGAAACGTCGAGGTAATATTATTGCCCCCCAAAGAATCCTCGGGGTATGTTTCATACAAACCATCGAGGAATTTCCATAGAAGAGTTCCCCGCATCGAGGAATTCGAACAGCTCATGGAATACTGCAGGATTCCTGCAGTTATTCGAAGAGCATTTCGAACTATATACCCCAGGGAATCCCTGGGGTATACTCTCAGGAATCTTTGAGGAAATACCCCAAGGAATCCCTGGGTTATACTCTAAGGAATCTTTGAGGAAATAACCCAAGGAATCCCTGGGGTATACCGTGAGGAATCTGTAAGGAATCTCTAAGGCAGCCAATGCCTCGTCGGTGCTGGTGGCCTTGCTAATAAATAAACTTCAAACGCAACAAACAAACGCGTGTAACTTTTATGCAAATAATGAAACCGAAAATTGACAACCGATAATTCTGGCGCGAGCCAGGGTATAGTCGACCAACGCAATGCCTTGTAATTAGAATCGCACAAGGCAAATAATCAAACATGAACATTTTGGCTTTGCCTAAAGCCAATTATTAATACATTTCAATATACCATATGATTAGATAAGAAAATTTAATTAAATATAATCTTAAATATATATAAATATTTCAACATATTTTAAAAAGGGTATTCTGACGTCGCTGCCATTCATTTGGTTTTCGACACCCATTTTTTTTCTCTCCCTACCCTCCATCTACATCTCTCTAATTGTCTCTCTGTCGCGTACCTCTGCTCCGAAAATATGACGTAGAAGCTGCGAGAATCATTGTCGAAAACCGAAAGCAGGTAGAAGTTTCCATTTCGTTTCGGACTTGAGTAAACGAAGCCCATGCAATTTGTTTTTGTTTTTCAAACATGTCGCCAGGAAAAGTCGGGGAAGGAATTTTTGGTACTGAAGGGATTCTAACCGGTGTTCTGTCACTTTGTTTTCGTGTATTTGTGCACACATACCATTGTATTTCTAGAAAGTTTTACCGTTTTCTGCCGAGAAGCACGGTAAATGGACAATATTTTCAATAATACGCATTGCACCGTTTTTTTCCTGATAAATGCTAAAAAACCGAAAAAAAACTTTTAAAATTAATTCAAAGTCCCAATATGTATACAAGCAGACAGAGCACATACTTTGGATGTGCATTGAACACACCAAACATTTCTATCACACGTATCATAACAGAATCACTCGAGTAAACAACAGATGATTGAAATCAAACAATTATACTCGATTAAAAATGCCTTAAATTCTGACTTAACAACAGTTCAACGAAATGAATCGTTCGATTTGATCGAAGCCAACTTCGCCTATAGCTTTTATATAGCTTTGGCCCCATGTACTTATATAATAAACATGTTGGTTTTAGGTTAATCTTCCTCAGATGAGTTTTATTTTTGACGGTCTGTAAAAAATATCTTACAGAGACCGAATCAACAGATTCAAAAAACAAAATGCTCAGTTTAAACGTTTTTGTGGTTTTGACTTAAAAAAAGTAAAAAGTAAATTTACCTCAACTCAACTTCCACACACTTCAACTTGGGGATAGCACACATATACATACATATATAGAATATTTTCCATCAAATACAGAATTTCTTTTAGGCTGTAGACTGAAACCTGGGCCGGTGGTACTGCTAGCAACGCAGCTTCAACACGTTATAAAAATTCAAAAGGAAAAGAAGTGAAAATTATCAAAACGTCGTTTACTTTTAAAAATCTCACACAAACGGTGAGTAAATCACCTGATCAAATTTGATCAAATTCCCGAAAAGGGAATACAAATTGTTCAAAATTATTGTTGTAAAGGAGACTTATTTTTTGAATATTTTATATTTAATTATGTAGTTTTTAGGTATAAACATTTACCAATTTAACGAATTTGAAAGCGCCAATAAACCCAAACGTTTCTCTTTTAAGGGGAATTATGGGTATGGTTTTTCGAATGGCGTTTCACTTACTTCGTAATTAAATCTTCGCATAAATATTTAACTATTAAGTAAATAAAAATTAATCAATATACACATATATTTTTTTTTTTTTTTTTTTTAACTTTGCTTTTATTTCTTGAATCTTTTCTTTGCGAGACTAACAAGAGGTGTATCAAATCTTATATTTTTAACTTAACTAACAGTCATATTGACTGATACGGAGTTCGACGGCCCTAAAAATCGATTGCTGGGTTGGGAGGTCGTTGCGTCTAAGGCGGGATACGCTAGAAACCCGAGTCAATCCCCGAGCGAGAGAATTTGGGTGCGAAGATAGTTTTTCTTTGTATGATTCTTTTTGCTTCTGGATTTCATCTTTCACTGCGAGGATGCCCAGATCCCGGTGGATGTTTTCGTTGCGAACATACCAAGGTGCCCCAGTGATAGTTCTCAAGATTTTTGATTGTGCG